CTTTTGTAGACGTTTGTCTCTTAGTCTTGAGGAAAAAAAGTGTGAAGGGTCCCCAAACCGGCAGCGGTTCGAGGGCACAAACCCTTCCCGTGTCCTGTCAATAGCGAAAGGGAAAGCTCTGTGGCGATGAGGGACTTAGCGCTTGCTGGGGAGGGTGGGGGGAGGCTTCTGGACGGGTTTTGGGCTTGCTTTGATTCCGGTAGTTGACTTTCTGTCCTGATATGGGTCATACAGCCCTGAAGGGTGAAGTGAATTGTCTTACTGAAGTACTTTTTTTGTGGTAATCAAATTATAATTAGAGGCAGAAGAAGATACTGATGTTGACAGCTCTCTGTTATAATTTAATAGGCTGCTGGTTGTATCTTGACTGTTATGGTCTTGCATCTGTGTTTGAGAAAAGTAGTTATTGAGGGACTTTGATGGGTGGTGGTACAGGTTGTGGCAAAGACCTGCAACTCTGGACTGCTGCTGCCTGTTGCGTTTTTCAGTTAAAAGCTGTGCCCTAGTTATGTGATGGCAGAACTGAGCCCTTTGGGGTGATGCTTTTCAAGTCTTGATACTGAAAGCCTTGTACTCTGTATAGTTCATAAAGCCTGTGAACCTTTAGCATAAGAACGTTAACTTTGTTTTTGTTATCGCCAATGTGAACTACTTTGTCAATAAAAACACCAGAATTTAATAAAGTTGTATGTATCTTTCTAGCGGTTTAGGGAGGGGGTCAAAACTTTCCAGGAGCCCCACTTCAGCCTTTGGAATGCAGTGACCAGCAGGAAAACATTCATGATTTATCTGTAGGGAAGTTTCCAGAGTATGTAGTTGCTTAATGTGCAGCTACATGAACATTGTTCTCCTTCAGAAAAAGAAAACTTTTCTCTGAAGCAATAAATTGGAGACTTGCGCTATTTACGTTCTTGTTCTGAGGAATTCGTGACCAACAGTTGAGTGCTGGAAGAATTTCTCCTGGGGCGATACCTTTCCCTTCCACTAAAAACAAAACAAAAAAAAACAAACTGCTTCCCACCTGGCCTTGAGCAAATGTTCTCAGCAGCAAACATTATGGCTTCTAGTTCCTGTCATGGTACTTGTTTATTACCTAGAGTAAAGAAAACTGGTTTGCTAATTTTTGTGATCGCTGGACTTGAGATATGGATTTAGTTTTGCAGGTATTTTCTGTGAGTTATAGCACTGACTTACCAGTCACTGAAGAAAGCAGAAGTGCTTAATGCCTTTGTCAAACTCTTGTATAAACATGAGTTTAATTATCAGAGTGCAGTTTCTCTGTTTCTACTTCATCTGCTGGTTTATGGCATTTATGTAAACATCAGGCTCCAACAACCCTACCCTTTCACAATGAAATCTCCATTCCAGTGTTCTTGTGATTGGCTCCTTGCTTGTAAGTAGGTTTTGATGCTGTGCCAAGCTAAAGGCCTCAGCTTTGAGTGAATGTTTGATATCAGGCTTCCTCAAACAAGCTGTTATTGTTTAAGTTAGTTAGAAAAGCCTTGTTCTTGAGTCTTTGTAATTAACACGCTAAGGTGAAGCTTTTTCTGCTGTCAAAAAACAAGACAGAATCTGAGTGGTTTGAGTGACTTCCTGTTCTAAAAATAACTTTCTTGTTTGTTTTAATAAGCATGGAAAATGATTTATTCCTTACAAGGAGGAAAAATGATTTCCTTGAATCTTGCCATTAGACTAACGTGTTATCAAAGGAGACTTTTCCTGGGTAGCTGGTGTTATCAGCTTCCTTAGTTTAATGTGATATCTTTGAAATAAATAAATGAAAGAGATTCTCCAAAAACTGAAGTTTTAGAGGACTCATGGTAACAATTTTCAGAGGTTTCCAGAAATGACTGACCTTTGGAATGTTTCTCTTAACCAAAAAGATGGGGTGTGCGGATTCTGATTACAATCTTCAGACTTGCTGAGCATTTTGGATTTTCCTGTGCTGTGAAGTGTTTGACTGTTAGGTTATTTAACTGCTTGGTAATGCCAGTGCCTTGCCCGGCGTGGACAGGAGTCACTTAACCGAGCAGTGACTTTATGTCTTAACAGTTGAATGATACAATATTAGGGCCTTGTATTTTGCATAATTGCAGGGACAAACTGCCTCAGAGAATGGGGAAGTTGATCTAAATGAGGCCTTTGTCAGGCAAGCAGTTAAGTTCAATGCTAGTGAGTAGTTGAACTTGCAGGGTTTCCAGTTCTTTGTCAAGAGGAACCATCCAACTGACAAAGCTGCGTGGCAGTTTGTCCTGTTAGCTTCTAATTGAAGTCAGTTATCTTTGTTACTCGTTGGCTTCCAAGAGGGGGAAGTAAAACCGCTTTTATTCTGCAACATTGTCAAGATTTCCATCTCACGTTAGATTATTATTTGGAGGATGTTATTTTTCAGTTATGTGTTATGTCTTGCTTCTGCTCATGAATACTTCTGGCCTTTTTATGTTGGTAGGTCTCAGGCTTCAATTGCTCAAATTTGAAAGACTTTTAAAATAATCTATACAGGTCTCACACAAATACATCATAAAATCCTGGCTTGTTTCTAGTATGCAGAAAATTCAGTCCGTGTAATAAGCATGATCAGTTAGAGCTTTCCCCATACTGACAGCATGATCTCAATTAGATCTTGGCTAAAATGTCACAGAATGATTTCTCTGCCCATCCTGGACTATCTGGGATCCTACTTTCCTTTAATCTCTTTCAGATAGTGTAGGATCAGTTTTCATCCTGAAGGAGCGAACAACTCAGATGCTTAAGTATTACTTGTACTTGTTCACATCTTTGTTGTAAACGTAGATTAAAGTCTTCTAAAGTCAGAAGTTGAGTGATTAGAAATAAAAGCCAGATTTTTCCAACCTGTTAAACCTCCTGTGAGAGGTGAGACAATTATTAGTAAGCCAACATCTTTAAGCTGTCAATATGCGAAGCAATAGATGCTTTTGCAGGGCGTGTTGTTGCTTGTCCGCAACCAGCGGCCGTGTGTGGGATCACGTAAAGCTGAAGGATTTGTGAACTAAATCTGTAAACTGTAAGTGCTTAAAGCTGAGATGAAACCAGAGAGAAGTGTGTGAATTGTGTATTGAATGTATTTTGGTGGGGAGCATATTAGTGAACTAGTGGAATAAATGAACTTGAATTGAACTGTATAGCTTTTGCATATACTCTGAGTTAAGCAGCTGTCTCTGGTTATGTTTACAAGCTGTAAAGCGCTCTAAATGACTGGATAGCACTAAATCCCCCGCGCCCCCCCTCCCCCCCCCAGTGCCCATCGGCCAGGCAGATGCTTATTTGTCCAGATATGATTAATATATACCTGCTGTAATATCTGAAGAGCTAATATTAATTCTCTTTATTGAATGAGAAATTATATTGAAAGCACTACTAAATGAACCAGATGGACTCTTGTTTCAAGGATGTAAACGGCCAAGAACCTAAAGAGAGCACAGCTATAGTACTCTGTTCGACAAAGCATCTGCTGTGAGCCACGTGTCACTAACATTTTTCTCTGAGCGTTAAGGGAGCCATCTGGTTATTTACAAGGTTAACTTAATTCTATTAGGACTGTCTCTTATTACAGCTAGACTATAGGTTAGTTGTGTCAGGATTAGTGTTCTAACATTAAGGTCTGTGATATCTGTGTGTAGAGAATGTTTGATGGAGAGAGATCAAAATTAATATTGGGGATGAGGGAAGAGAAGAGACAACTTACTATACTTCTGAAATTATTAGTTCAGCCTTCCAGTACCTTGTCCAGAATAGTCGGATTGCCTTTAGCAGTTGTCTTCTCTGCTTAGTGTTCTGCAATTGAAATATCGTTTCCGTTATGAAAATTATGATACTTGACAGAAACTTTGCACTGCAATATGCTCTTTCTGGTAGAGGAAAAAAATTTCTTTTCTTTTTCACCTGTAACATGAGAAATGGAGAAAACAATCTTCTTAGTGACTTGTAAGAATGCTTTAAATCAAGTCTTAAATATACTTTTTTAATGTTTGTTGTTCTGCTCCTTTTTTCTTCCAATTAATGATCCCACAGAATTGACAGTCCGACTGTGTACCTGGTTATTGATTGTATGAATGCCAAGTAACAAGGGTATGACCTTTCCTCATCTGATGTGGCAGCTCTGTGTGTAACCTTCAGTGCTTTTCTTGTGAGGTCCCTCATGACCTGTGCCGTGGGTGGGGTTTTTTTATTTGTTTCTTTTCTAAAAGCCCGATGTACTTGATCCTTTATCAGCTACGCAAGGTATGAAAAGGGATCAATTTCTACAGTTTCCATCTCATGTTAAGAGAAGAGGAAAATTACACCAAAACTAAAATGGGAAGTAGGTGAAGGAATTTCACCTACTGGAAATACCAGCTGGATTTCTGATATTACAGAGAAACTAACCCAAGCGCTGACGGTGCCTTGTGATTATTTGTCCTCACGTATACCGTATTTTTTATTTATCTTACTTACAAGAGTGCGCTCTGTTAGATTCAAGTGGCAAGTAAAGGCCTTGCCCAAAATCCTTTGGAGGATACGGGCTCCATAAGGAATTTCTCTTCCGTGCTGTGCACAATTTTCCAGCGTGTTAGGTGCTTAACAATCCAAGCACTGACCCTGCCTAGCGTATGAGAGCTCATGGAATGGTAATACACTGTGATATTTATAACACACCTATGCAAAACCCAGCTCCCAATTAGATAAGTGCATTGTAGTCAACTATTTCCTCTTCAGTCCGTCACAGTGACAGTAGCTACAGTTCAAAGAATGACTGCCTTGATTCATCTACAGTTTCATCTTTTTTGTTGCAATATTCTGTTCAATCAGTGGTACCAGAAGTTTAACTTCCTCCAGACTTTTTTCTTTCATCTCTGTCAGGAGTATAGCCAGGTAATTAACAAAAGCATGTTTGTTTAAAGCTCTTATCCAAGTTATTGAAAGAATTGATTGCTTCCTGTGAAGTAGCTGGATATGTCTGACAGTATTCTAAAGAAATTTGCTCTTGCAGTGCTCAGAGAGATGTTTTGAGTGAATACTTAAATAAACATCAATCTGTGTCATCCTCTCTTCCTCCTTAATTGCTGCTGCAGATGACTGTATATGTAATTGTTGTAAACAATCTTTCCTTCCTCTTAGGATGATGTGAGGCAGAAAGTGCACCTGAATACCTTTGGCTTCTTCAAGGATGGTTTCATGAAAGTCAATGTCAGCAACCTTTCACTGAAGCCACCTGTAGGCTCTGATGAGAAGAGTAACTCAGCAGTAAGTTACTTCATAAGCCCAAAGACTGTAGTAAGCTTCCTGTAAAACTGCCTTTGCACTGGTTTCTTTAACTCATTTGAGGTGTTAGCTCAACCGTGTTGCAGTTGGCTTTGTTTCCCATTGTTAGCCATTTGCTATGATATGTATATTCTCAGATTTATCCTTGGGTGCTACCCGTTCTGTTTTAAGGAGAATCTTGAATTTATCAGATTCGCTGCTGAACTCGCCTGAGAAATCTGTATATGTATGGCCTGTATTAAACATAGGTTACCTAAACAGTCCTCTGACGGGGGATATTCCCACTCTTGTCCTGTTGTGATCCAATGCGTCTTGTAACCATTATATTAATAGGTTCCCAGTACAGTGACTGTATTCTGATTTTTGGGCAACTTTCATGTTTTCAAGTATATAGCACTTTGTATTAATGATTTTAATGGAGATACTAAAATATCGGGGTAAAAAACAGATCTGTATTCTTATTTCCGTGCGTGTTTCTACCTCTTTTATTACTATTAAATATTTTCCTCACGCCAAAATGTGAGGGAAAAGAAACAAAATGACCGAGTTAAAAGGGACCAGTGCCAGGAGGACCTGGACGGGTCTGAGCTGAGCTCTAGATTAGTTTGGGTTTGAGCCGAATATGTATTCTATTCTTTGTTGATATGGATGAAGCTGCAAACTCTGTTGCATTGGAATAATGTTCTCTGTCTAATTAAGTAATGAGACAAATACCTGGATTCTGCCTTAAATATAAGTTAGCTTTATTTCAAGAGCAATGTCTTCAAGTCTTTTGAGATTTGGCTTGACTTCTGGTATTGGGAGGACCTGAGCTGTTTTAATTTGATAGATTCTTCTTAATTTGTCTTTTAGGTCGGGTTCAGTTTGGATCGAACAAGGAATGATGGGTTCTCCACTTACCTGGTAAGAATAAGGCATGTGGAATTTCTTTGCTAAACTGGGGATATCTCATAGTCTGCCTTATTCCAGGAACGGTAGGAAGAAAGAAGGGCCTGTAAACATGGGCAGTTTATTAAGGATGATTCAGTTTTACAGTGTGCTGGACAGTAACCTCTACCAGGAGAAGAGCATGCCTCATTTCTTACTAACAGTAGGGCACTCAAAAGATGTTTTGGTTACATTGCCAGGATGAAGAAGTGGATTATTGTATTTTGAAAAAGAAACCAGAGCAAGATGTTTCAATTGTAATCTTACTTCTGGACTTCAAAAATGGAGTGTGAGTAAATTATGTACCCTATTTTTAGGTTATTTTTGTAGTCGGCGTTTAAGGTTCGTGAGGTTTCTTTAAGGGCTTGGAAAGCTGCTGTGCAGGTAGTCTTATTCTTAATGGATTACGTGAGAGTAGGGTGGAGATTATAGTGAAGAAAAATCTGGGATATAAAAAGGTTCAAGATTCCTTGCTGTATGTTGGAAGGTTAAGGGGAGATAGGACATGACTCATGTCCTAACAGTAACTGCTGAAGACATGAACTTGAAGTCTCAGGTTATGTTTGCAGCTCTTCCTGTGAACGTGCTGTTTTAGTCTTTGTCTTGGGTTACTCCTTTTGTGGAAGAACCTTCAAGGCTATATCTCTTCCTTTTACAAGAACAACTTCAATTGTGTTTGTGTGAAAACAATATGTAATGTCTCTAGTTGTCAAAACTGAAGAAACTTGTTTTTCTTTGGCTTCTCACATATGTAACATAATGGTGTAGCGTCACTTCTTCTACAGTGGTCAGTTCAACACCAGGCTGCTGTAAGTCATGGTCTGGTTGCTTTCCTGTTCTCAACGGTAAAAGAGCAAGTCAAGACACTCAGAATTGTATTGTTTTGAAGACTAAACAGAGCAGTATTTGCACAGTTTACATTTAATCTTCCTATGTGGGCAGTGGAAAAAGTTGGGTACCTAATTCCACGCTTGAAATCAGCCCCTGGAGGCTGCTTAGTTCTTATACTGGTCTAACAGGGCTCTCGGGATGTCTGTGTTAATGGCACTCAGGAGTGGAAACACTCAAGCTTTTTTCCCTAGCAGCTTCCTTTTTTTCCTAAGGTAGTATTTTGATAGGAAGTTGGTTTTTCCTTTACTGAGGGTTTGTGGGCTATGACAGAGAGCCTCCTGAAGAATGCTGATTTGCTTTCATTCTGTACAAAAACTCTTTGTTTATTTAGTGTGAAAGTACGGTTCTCTGCAGAAGCTGCTGCCCTGTTACCTAAAATTTCATTCGTGTCTGAGGAAAATGTTACTGCCTTGATTACCAAGGCTCCAAAAACTTCCGAACAGAGCAGTCGTTCTAGCAAAACTCCTGTTGAGACCAAACAAAATCCAGCCAGCAAAGGTAAGCCTGCTAAACCTGACCTATATGTTCTCTCACTGCTAGTTTCTGGTTGATGTGCATCCAAGTGTGCTGTGGTCAGATTCTAGAGCCCCTTTAGGCTAGTTTGTCATGCAGTCCTGCGTATACCTGTGCATGGAGTTACTGTTTGGGCTAGAGTCTCATATTTAATGAAGTGCTGTGGATTATATCCAGTTCTGCTCATTGGGTGGAGGCCTAAAAAGATGGTCAGAGGCAGTATTTGACCTACGAGGAGCAGTTGAGGTAGCTGGTCATCTTTTCTCTGGCAAAAAGAAGGCTAAGGAGGAATTTAGTAGCCTACAGCTACTCAAAAGGAGAGTTAGAAGGGCAGAGGAGCCAAGCTCTTTTTAGTAGTGGCAAGCTGCAACTTGTGGCTGTTGCCACCTTGTTAAGTTTTGGGCGACTCAAGATACTAGGGAAAAGCTCCTTCCTAGGTGGGTATTACAGCATTGTAGCAGGTCTCATATGGAAATTGTAAAATCTCTGTCTTTGGAGGTTTTAAACACCTGGCTAAACAAAGCCAGGGCCAACCTGATCTAGTATTGACAGTAGTCCTGCTTTGAGTGGGAGGCTGGATTAGACACCTCCACAGGTCCTTTCCAACCAACGTTTCTGTGAGTCTGATCCTCCCTATCTAAAGAGGCAAAATCCAGTCTGTCGCTTAGAAAAGCAACTTTTGTGGAGGCATATATCTTTGTCTGGCTTCCAGACCAGCAGAGGAAACAATTTGATAATCTTTGCTCTGATGGGATTATCTCTAAACAGTTCATGTTCTCCCTTCCTAGAAGAGTTCAGAAATGTAGCAGTCTGATCTGAAGTGGGGTTTGATATGTCTGTTTTGCTGTGTCAAGTTCACAGGCTTTGATCTAAGGGAAAGCAGAGTATGCTTTCTTCATTTTGTACAGCTATTCTAACAAGTTAAGAGCTAAAGCTGGGCTGTCACTGAAGATAATTGATTTGCAAATCTGACAGGTCTAGTTTTGCTTTTTCACGCATTAGGAAGCGTAGCATTCATGTTGACAGTGTACTGACATACAAGTGCCAAAAGCAAAGCTCAAGTCTTGAACTTTTGCATCCTGATAGGATGGAATGACCTGATGTCTGGAAAGCTTCTTATAGGGTCTGTTGAAGCGAGGTTGTGAACTTGATGTGCTGCTCAAAGTCTACCCATCAACCTAAATTCTTCAAGTTCAGAACAGATCTTGAACGAGCAGGCCACCCTTTTAATTATTACTGGGGCCTCCCCTAGTAAAAAGCTGAGACCTTTTTCCTTCCCAAGAGCTGCCATATGTTTGTCAGGCCATGTATTAATGTGCAAATTAACGTTTCTCAATAATAACATTAAACGCCGTGTAGCTGTACACTGAAACAAAGTTGCAGCCTGCATCTGATGTAGGTCACCTCCATGTTGGATTATTGTGATTGAATAGGATGGAATGATTTCTTGGGTAAGGATTTGTAGAAAGTATAGTAGCTGAGATAGTAAGCATGGATTGGGGAAGAATTGCTGTTAATGGTTATCTAGGAAACTACCACTCAGACAGGAGTAGGAGGGCTTGGGTAAGATATTAGCAATGTGCGGAAGCTGGTAGTCTGTGAGACTGTCTAAGCACAAACACTCTAAATGTGCCATGAATGCTTTTATCTCTAGAAAAGAAGTCCAAAAGAAGTACAACATCCTCTCAGGTAAGAGAAACTGTCTGCATTTCTCTTTAAGAAAGCCTGGGGGGAATATTCCAGTGTAATCATGGCTAGGAAGTGGCTGTGCCACTTCTTTCTTGCTTTCCCCTCCTCTGCAAATGTACAGAATAGTTTTGGTCGTCTGGATGATGTAGCCAAATGTGGTACTACCTCCTTAAAAATCTAAAAGTTTGTCTCCTCCTTTCCCCAGAGCATAGTAGAACAAGCACATCCTGTTCACAATGACAGAGGAACTTTTTCGTTTCAGGTATGATTTCTGTCAATGTCTAATCTCAGTGTGTACAGACTCACTGTACTGCTTACTGAAAAGTAGAGATCTGCTGCTCCCTATTGTAATCCCTGTTTTCCTAGTACAGATGCCTCTTTGATAGTTCAGTACGCTTTTCAGAGGGACTCTTGTGAGAATAAGTGCTAGAAAGCTCATTCCTTATAAAGTGCAGGGGCTGTTTTAGACTGCCTTTTGAGTGATGCAGGCCCACTAAACATGTTAATCTGTGACCCTCAGAGCATTAAAGTTTGCTGTGATGCAACTAGTGTATACAGAATGCTAAAAATAAATAGCTGTGGTCTGAACTGATGATGCACTTAAGATAGGATTCTCTTCTTTGTGAAACCAGATTAATGCTTTGCTGATTCAGTTGGGATATTTGGTTAACCCAAAACAAACACGTTTTGAATGTATTTTGTGTCAAATGAGAGTTCACACAGCTCTGAAAGTTTGTACAGTTGAGGAAGCAGCAGAATAGCTGCTTATGTTTTAGGGCAAATATTATGATCAAAATAATTTTATGCTTCATCATGTTAAGTATAGGATGCTTCTTGTTATCTTTTGTCTGTGGTGAAGTAAGTATAACACCAGTGCCTAAAGGTCTTGGATTACCAGCTTGCGCCATCAGAGTTAAGTGTAGTGACCCTACATTTGAAACGTTGTTGAGACATACCAGCAGGTATGCTGGTAGCCTCGTAACGGTATTGTTGCTGAAAGGAACTAACCGACCTAAAATGACTGATTTGTTCATGCTCCAGTGAGGGTGGCTTCTTACCAAGGCAACCTCCTCGTGAATGAGGAAAAATACTGACTTTCTTATTCCTTATTTTCAGTTTTTTTTTAACATCAGTTCTGATAACCAAGAAGGTCTCTACAGCCTGTATTTCCATAAATGTGTTGGCAGTGATGGGCAGACTAATGATCAGCAGCTATTTAGTCTTGATGTGAGTATGGGTTCTAAAGTATAATTAACTCATTCATTTTCAATTCCAGCTTGTATACAGAACACACTGTAGATGAGTATATATGGAGTAGCAAATGATTCAGAGCTGTGCATTTAATCTCTATACTGGCATTTCTGAAGGAAACAACTACAATCAGAAGAATTAAGATACTAGTTTTAAAGAAACGTGTGGAAATTTGAAGACCGCCTGTAGGCTGGGTTCAGTCTACACAATTGTGACTACATGCATGAGGTTGGAGTTAAAACAGCTGCTCATGTTTTGCTGCTCGCATAAAATCTTTTTTTTTTTTTCTTTACACAATTGCAGATATTCAGCCTGCTGCTTCAATCTAAATTATTGGTCTTCATGAATTCATTGTCATTGCTTTCTCTGGTCTAATTCAAGATGTGTTTCTACAGTGTTAAATACAGCCTTTTACAAGCTGTACTTTACAGCATGCATCCTGTCTTTTTGGAAGCAGCTTGAAAGGAGTCCAAGGGTTCAGTCCTATGCCATCTTAAGCAGCAGTGTATTAGAACAGCTCTCATTTTCACTTCCTTGTGCTCATACCAGCATTCATGCTGCTAGGTAGTGAGCTATCCTGAAATGAATCTCTCATTGACCAAGGTAACTTTCACGCCTCTGAACTGCTTGTTA